GGATTTGGGGAGTTTTCTGGGTGTGGGTGTTGGGGTTTTGTTTAGGTGGTTTTGGCTACTAAGGAAAAGGATGGAATCAGACGGGAGTTCTGTTTTCTGTAGCGAAAATGATAAGCAGGATCATCAGTTCTAGCTTGAAAAGAAATTCAGTTGGGGAATCGAGTATTCACATCTTGTTTTCAGGGACAAAGCTAAGGAGAGAGATTATTGGTTTTCAGAACATCAGTTAGAAGCAGGCTAGTGTGTCTCTAGAAGCAGTTCAGTTCCTGTTAATGGTAGGAAAAAACAGATGTTTGTTTCTGTGCATAAATAAGATAAAAGTATTAACTGGAAATAAGATGTCAAACAAGTTCAGGTGGCATCTTGGAATTCTACAGTGTTGTGCCTTAGAGATGTAAGAGTTGAGCATTCCTGGAAAAATCTCTAAAGAGATAAGATAGTCTGTCAACACCGGTCTAGCCACTGTACTAGATACCTTCTGCATCGCCAAAGCATTACTGCATTTAAATCAAAAGTCCTTTAAGTTAGCGAAATAATTTTTTTATGGACAGAACAGTCTGTTCAAGATGCTAGAGCCATCCCAGTCTCCAGTTTATTTCTACAATAGTTCTGCATGGGGGAATGTTACCGAAGTTGCAGTCAAAGTAATACATTGCAAAAGGAAATGGTGGCAGGCGGCCCAGAGAGTCACTGAAGCCTTAGTTACTGAAAGGCATTTTTCAGAGAAACACAAGAGGTGACTTTGGTTCAAGAATTCAGAAACAATAAAGCTGAAGTGGAATTTCTATTAGTCATCAAGTAAGCTGGAGATGGCAAAATAAGCTGAGCAGGTTCTCTTCCTGTCTTTTTTTTATCCTGCTGTAATGTGAATTCCTAACCCTCATAAAGCTGTTTATATTTTGCATAGCATACTTTCAGAAGAGGGATTAAATCATGCTTGTTTTGGGATAAGTGTGAAGTTGCACTAGAGATTCTTGATTTCTCTATTAGGAGAAAGCATGCAGCCTCCACAAGTAAGGCAAGGCTGTGTATGGGAGGTCTGCCTTGGGGACCGCAGAAAAGGAAGAGGCTGCAGCTCTGGATCTACCTGTGAGCTCCTGCTTTAACAAGTTCATAGTCTGGCGTGTGCACAGGGCTCCATCCGAAGAACCTACCAGGGTGTGGAACTGGTGTCTAGGAAAATAAGACCTCTGACCACCACCAGCAAAATTGATCCCCCCAGTCCAACTAGGCATGCAGACTACATGAAGTCCAATGACAGATGTAGAGTAATATCATCAGTAGCATCAGATATTATGGTCAGCTGGTATATTTCCTTACTTATTATTTAAAATACAGTAACTCCTTTGGGAGTATTTCTTCTTTGTAATGTTTGCTATGAAAAAGATTAGCATAAATATATCACAGATATTCAGGCAGATAATCACCACTTCTGTAAAAGTACAATTCTTCATAAATAATTACTTGGTTAACATGTTAAAATATTAATTACTTGAGAAAAGGTCAAATGCATGAAAATGCAGACTCAGGACAAGATAGTTGTCTGCTGTGTGGGGCGGCTTCTGCTGGATAGGTATCTTCCTCTCCCAGGTAGGCCTTCAAAGCCCCCTTCCTAAGAGTAGTTACCGAAAAGGATTTGAAGAGCCTGGAGGAAAAGTCAGTGGCGTGCCCTGCAGCAGTGAAGCATAAGCACACACCGGGCTGCATCGCTACCAGCGTAGCCAGCACATCAAGGGAAGTGACTGTTTTCCTCCGTTCAGCACACGTGAGACCTCGAGGCTGGGCTCCCTCGTACAAGACAGACATTCACATTGTGGAGTGAGTTCAGTGAAGGGCCACCATGATGGCTGGGGGCTGGAGCAAGTGATATGGCAAGAGCTGGTTTTAGTCTGGAGTAGAGAAGCCTAAGGGGGAATCATCTTGGTGTCTTCAGCTGTGTAATGGGAGAGTGTAGAGAGGATGGAGAGATGCTCGGTGAAAGGACAAGTTGTACCATGGAAAAATTCCATTAGCTATTAGGAAAAATTTGTCCATGAGGTTGGTCAAACGCTGGAACAGGTTGCCCAGACAGAGTGTGGGATCTTCATCCTTGGAGATGCTCCAAACTCAACTGGACACAGCCCTGAGCAACCTGATCTAACTGTGAAGTAAGCTCCGCTTTGAGCAGATGACTGGACCAAATAACTGTCAGAGTTCCTTTCCAACCTAAACTATGCTGTGATTCCACTGGAAAGAGGAACAGTGCTCCTGCCTGGAAAAATAGCAGTGGATGAGCCACACATGAGAAGGCAGGATCCTAACTGCCTCAGAAGATGGGCGTGGAGGAGAAAGGCTGGAAAAGGGGAAGATTTTAGAGCCTTTTCCTTTCCATGGTGTCCACGAATGTAGGAGTGTGAGAGCAAGCATCTCTTGTACTATTTGTACGAGCATATCCCTGCCCAGCAGCCTGTTTTCCTCTCTGACTTACAGGACACTGGTAGATGTGCAAGTGCTTTCAACTCCAGCTGCCGTATTCTCACATGATAAATAACAGAGCAGGATGTATCTACCCAGAGCTGATGACAGAATATTTTATGGATGTGAAATTCAGTAAAGAGGCAAAGATTGGTTTATAGTCTCTCATGTAACATAAAAGAATAGAAACAATTTTTTATTTTAAAAAGTGTGTTTGAAATAATGCCAAGCAGATTGACTTGCTTTACTGAATTCAAAGAACCTTTCTAAAGAATTTGTTCCACTTGGTATTAGGAAGGATTTTTCATCATGATTTAGCGGAGGACTAGTCTGAATTCTTGCAACATTAAATTTGTAATCAGCCAGTCATATCAGGGGAACTATAGGATGTTTTTAAAGGGTGAGCTTTATCATTTAAACATGTATCATTATATTGACATTGTTACCCTGATTTGTATTTTTAAATGCATGCCATTACCCCAGCGTGGCTTCAGTTAAACTTCATCACTCAGAGCGATGGGCTGCCTGCGGCAAGGCTGCCTGCCTGCATGTCAGTGAGTGTCCGGGGGGGGGCAATAACCCACAAGAGCAGTTTGAGACATTGGCTCCTGAAGGAAGGAGCTCCCTGGTAGACAGGCCCCAGTCATGTTGCAGGTTTATGATGCCCACCTGAGGTGTGATAGGCATATCAATCTCCGGGATTTTTTTTTTTTTTTTGGTCTTCAGAAATGTTCATAACCTGAATAAGAGCTATGAAGGTCTTCTCTTGCAAAGAGGCAAGAATTAATTTTGCATTGATGAATTTTTGCTTGTGTTACATTCTGTAACTCACACTTCTGTTTTTTAAATGTACATATACTGCTGTGATTCTTTAGGTAACGTCTGCGTCCCCAGAAAACTGTCCACTTAGAGGAGTAGCTCTGCCCTGACCTTCCAGGTTAAATGAGAAAGCTCCTCTCCTTACACGGCACTTCCTCTCCCCATCTACCAACTTGTGCCCACTCTGACCCTTTGCCATTAACCAGGATTTTGTCACTGTTCTACTGAATTCCAGATTTTAATTCTTCACGTGAAATGTGGTGGTAGGTAAAGATTTCATTGAAGCAGCGTAGATGCAGTCCCCCTGCCTTGCTGATATTTGATTTATATTACAAAAGCAACCAAAAGTTTGCTAGGCCTGGTACAGCAGTAGAAGATGTTAGCTCTTTGGGGCAAATACTGCTATTTAGGAGACAAGCATCAAAAGGAGGATAAAAGGGCAAAATGTTCTAGTTTGATAGTCCCTAGCAACGTCTATTTAAATATCTCATATTTGCAGTTCACTCTGTTTTAATAGCCTTCAGGATGTTGTATGATTAGACATAAGTAGCATTATTTTCCTGCTATACTATCCTCCTCTTTTAAATAAAATTGGGAAATGTGAGATGCTGTTAATGCCTCAGGCATCCAGATTCCTCTGGGTTTTAACTATTATCCACGGATGCAGGTTATGACTGGGAAGTGCTCTGACGCTCAGTTACGAAATGCACTGTTGCATGAAATAGTCTCTAATCTTGTGCGAGTTGCATTGCATTATTAGGATGTAATGTTGTTTCTTATTTCCATCTTCATGTTCACCTTCAAAGCTACTACTGGACTCGCTTTTCGTTTGGGTTTTTTTGTTTTTTTGTTGTTTTTTTTTTAATGATCCTACCTTACATAGTCTTAAAGAGGAATTTTTTTATATATATATATATATATACACATATACACATATTTTTAGGTCGTGTGGTTTTCCTAGCATGTATTTTTAGTCTTACTTTAAGTAAAATGTTTCTTCACTCCTCCCGTTAGTCACAGCAGATTTGGAATGTCTGCAGTAAACCAGGATGGATTTTTGCCCCCTGCTCCTAATTGCTTTATTGAAGGCTGAAATAAATCTGAGTATTTAAATATAACCAACCTCATTTTGCAAAGTGTATAATCAATACGTAAATGCAAAAGCATAAGCGCCCTTACTTTGAAGCAAGATATTAATTCTCAAATCTTAGTTTGTGTCCTATATTTTTGCTTTGTGGAGTTTATTCAGCAAAATTTCTGTCTCTCAAGTAGTCGATTCCTTTATCTGTACTCAATTAAAATGTTTTATTTGTTTATCTCGGTTTAGTGATACTTTTGTCTAGCTTGGTGTACTTTCTTCATTCCTTGTCTTTTCTTTGCCACTAATTATCCCTTGGTACCTTTGTCTGCAAGCTAATCAGCTCATCTTCCTGAGCAATTCAGTTATAGTTAACATCACCCTTAAAAATAGCCTTCCTTATCTCAACTGTCCATCCTATGCTGGGTGCAACACATCCAGTTTTGTGGATCTTTTATGAGGCATGTAATGTCCATTTATCTGTTGTCTGACCTCCAATTATACCCTGGCTGATTTATATATGTAATAAATTTAATTCCTCTGTCACTGGACTGTATGTGACTACTAGCCTGCATGTGCAGTGCATCCACATTTCTTCTCTCTTCATCCTTGCATTATAATTTCTAAATCTGATAAATATTTAATAAAGCTAATCTCTTTCCAGACCTGAATGTATTTTTAATACTGCACTGCTGTTCAGCCTTGTTTTCTAATAAGCTTGGCTATTTGTGTGTATCCATGGTCGGAGATAAGCAAGAATGTGATACTGAATCAGCTTTTTTTCCTTTCCCAGATCCCTACTGTCTGTGCTTGCTGTGTCACACCTATGGTCAGAGACTCAGAGTGGATGCTAACTAAAGCTTTCTATTTACTTGGGTTTTCTTTCTTTTCAGGTTTCAATTCTAGGCTGCCCTGATCCCAAAGTTCATGAGATTGCATACCAGTATGGAAAAAATGTTGGCATAGCTTTTCAGGTAGTGCTTTTGTTGAACTAAAGGGAATCTAAAATCTAAACTTTTCCAAGCTGCCTTAGAAATCAAAAAGTGGGCTGTCCTAATCCTTTCTATAAATCTTCTCTTAACAAGGATTAATCTGTATTTAGTTCTCATTTAAAAAAAAAAAAAAAGTAAGTTAGTTTTAAAATAATCTGTATGTTTATCTCTTTCCAGCTAATAGATGATGTGCTGGATTTTACATCGTGTGCCGACCGTCTGGGGAAACCAGCAGCAGCAGATCTCAAGCTTGGCTTGGCCACAGGCCCTGTCTTGTTTGCTTGTCGACAGGTAAGTCAACGGGAATCTATTTCCCCAAAACAAAAAGCGCCCACTGCTCTTCACAGCACACACAGAGGCCCAGCTCCAACACATCAAGTCTACAGCGTAAGTGATGGGCGTGGCCTGGGCACGTGTGAAAAGTCAGTGTGTTCAAGATCAGCTGGATTTAGTGTGCACACGCGTGTTCTTTCAGACTGAGAAACACCTTCCTACACAACTCCTCTTCCCATTAGGCCCTTGTATGAAAAGCAGCACTAGTCTTTTGCTGCCCCAGTTCAAGTGCTTAACCTTTGCAAAGGGGCAGGTATTCAGAGAGTTTTTGCACGTTTTCTGCAGGTTATTCCTAAGTAGCTTCTTGCTTATGTTCTTTCCCGAGACATCTTGTTCTCCCCAGGCACGACTACATATGTAGACTTTTTGCCAAGTTCTGGGCTTTGTATCCATCCCGGGGCCAAGAACTTAAATCTCTGCCTAGCTTTTAGGTGGGCACCTCTATTTATTGGATTTGATCTCTTCATGTCTTTGTCCTCCAGTCTTACCCAGTTATAAATGTGGGAAGCTCTCCCTTCTGGAGGTAAATGTAATAGTAGTTTCAATAAGAGAAAAAGGAGTATCATAAATAAAATAAGCTTAAAACTGGTCAAGATTTTTAGTGGCTTAAAAATGGTTTGGAGGAGTACAAGGAAAACAGAGGTGCCAGCAGCACCAAAAGAAACACTAAAATTGGTGCTAATCCATAAAAGAGGAAGAAACTGGTTTAACGCACCTTGCTCAAGCTTCTGGTTCACCTGAGGAAAGAAGATTTGGGACTTAGGAAGCAGTCCTTCCTACCAAACTTCACAGCATGATACAAAAACTGGCACAACTAGTTCCAGTAGAGCTCTAGTCTGTGCTCTCTCATTGGAACTGAAATCTCAGAGCTTGACATGGGAGGTTTTAAATAATTTTTAAAAATATACAAATTTATGACATTTCCCTCCCCCTCTTTCTTAAAGAGCCTGGGGAGGGAGGAGGTGGAACATACGCGTGTGTGTGTTTCCTCATCCTTTGGGCATTTACAAAGACATGTATCTCAGAAAAGGCAGGAAAGCAAAGAGTATCAGGCACTTAAGAATGCAGACGAATGCATGCTGAGAACAACCTCCTCCATATTCTCAGTTCCTTCCCACAGCCTCATCTGGAGGATTCACAAACTTGTTCTTGAATCATTATTTCAGAATTTGTTGATAAGCAGCAGGATCTTGTTAGTCATCAGCAACCGGAGTTGTCTAAAGAAAGGCGAGAGACTCGTACAGAAAGAGGATGCAACTGTGAAATGGTTTGTTTGTTCGTGTGTTAAAGCTACTTGTACAGAGAAACAAGGACATGTTGCAAATACTCTGGTTTTGGCAGAGAATGGGCGACACTGATTCTCTTGTGGGTGTTGAATTTTCCATTTTTTTAAATCAAAACTATTATTTATTTGTTTGGGTTGGCTGTCTCTGACTTTCAACTTCATCTACCATTTAATTAGCTTTGTAAGATAAATGAGTTCATAGTACAGAAATACAAGACAAGAAAATCTGTCAGTTCTATTTTAAAATCTCACTTGTTCTTTGTAGGTCACTTTTAAGCGCTTTTCCTCGTTTATATCTTTGATAGATGGGAAGCGTATGTTTTTGCATTGAAAGATAACTTGACCATCTTGCAAAGTTTTCCGCATTAACCGGAAGGCTTCCTTGCTGAAAATTTCCTGCTGTTTTCAAGAAACTGGAAGAGCACTACAGACTTAAGTGATATATAAACAAAGTATAAGTGCTAAAAAAATTTGGAGCTTCAACAGACGCTTATCTGTGCTGCTACTAAAAGATGTTTCATCTATTTGTATATGAGAATAAAAACTCCTGAGCCAGGACTTGAAGATAGTCCAAAATGTAACCGTTAGTTATAGGCTGTCTTTTCTCTTGAAATTAATATTACTGCTGTGCTGCATACCATTTAATAGATCTGGTAATCCTCATGTTGTCTTCTCGACAAACATACTTTAGTTCTTGATGTGCTCTGGATCTTCAGTGACAGCCTTCTTTTCTTCTTGTCCTCTCCCCTCCCTCTGAAATACATCTTCGTGCATTAGAATATTAAGGAGAGGCCTTTATACAAAAAATATTTAGCTTGATGCGAGACCTATTTATTCAGTATTTAAATTAGTTCACTCAGTAAAAAACCAAACACACACCCACCCAATATTTTTTAAGGAACTACACTAGTATATGCTAAGTCTAAAGCCACTCTTAAACTAGTACGGGTGAAGAATGGGGGTTTATTTTTATTATAAGCATTCCTGTCAAATGGTTATATACTGCCTGTTAAATCTGCAGAACTGCAGGTTTAGTGCTTTGGATCCTTTAGTGCTTAAACATAAAAAGTGAAAGCATATGCATCCTATATCATTGTAAATATGAATAATATGAAAATGGATTATATGAAGATTGCAATTAAATTGTCATTACATGGGAAGAAAGCTAGGATCTAGAGAAAGCTAAGTATGAGTCACCAATAAACTGCTACATGTATCCTCCAAGAAGACTACCTATGAGTAACAGGGAAATGTCACAACAGTGAGGGATACTACGCGTTTGTTCCCGAACAAGTTTGCAGATCTACGGTTTCAGGACCAAAGGTGTGCAAGGAAAGCAGATCATTGTTTACAAGTGTACGGCAATAAAATAATCTTTGTTTGACTGTAACCCTTTCAGACAAGATGAATAAATGCCTCTTCCCTTTAAAACATAATTCTTCCGCAGAGTAGCTGCCTTGAGTTGTGGCTTTAGTTTGTTAAGCACCAGGTTTTTCTATTTCTGGACTGTCTGAAGAAAGTGCCTGCATGTTTAGGTAAGTGATGCAGTGACTTTCTCAGATAACCGACTTCAGTTATCATCTACCCGATTTGTAGGGAACTGAGTGTGCAGTACTAACTACACATTCTACGTGACTGAAAACAAAATACATTATAGTTGTCATTTTTCTCTTAGAAAAATTTGTCCTGAGCTTTCCACCTCTGTATATAAAACACCAGAGCAACGGAAAGCGTAAGTGACTGTAACAGTCAAAGGTATCATGAAGGGTTTTCCAGGTTGAACTGTGCGATATAACAAAACGCCTGGGTTCTCTGTTGTACACGTGGGGGAAGAGGTGCTGCGTCTAGGTGTGCCGACACTAACCACCATTTGAGATATAAGAATACCTGAACCAGATTGTACACCTGGAAGTAGCCACATCAGAAACTACCCCACTGGATCATCTGCTCAATGGCAGGTGCTAACTTTCGCTACCAACTGGCTGCAGCTAACAGAGCCAGCCAGTTTAAGTTTCACATGCTTGGGCTTTGCTGTACTACAGTCTGATGCAGATTGCAGGTATTAACCTACAGCTATACCTGTAGCGACAACAGCGGCAGGGGAAGAGGTCTGTACTTTGGGTTTTTTTGACCTTAGCATGGCAGGCAGCTACATGAAAAACAACTCATAAGCAGTACAAAACCTTCTCCCTTTGTGCTTAGTTTCCAGAAATGAATGCTATGATAATGAGACGATTCAGTAAGCCAGGAGACGTTGAACGTGCTCGGAGATATGTGTTGCAGGTAGGCCTGATGCCAAGTATTTCATTCCTGAAGTGCTGTCCCTGCTGCAGTCAGTCTGAAATTAATTGCCTCTGAAGTAAAACGGCAGGGCTGCATTTTCAAATGCATGTGAAATAGCGCACTACGTACAATACCGAGTTAGTACTCCTCTGCTGTCTTACCAGCACAGTGTTTTAGCAGAAATGCTAGGTACTGAAGAGCTGCTTTTTTCCCCTCCCATAGCATAAAATCCACATAATAAAAGTAAAAAGCTTGTGCATGAACTCAGTTCCTTCAGCGGGAGAGTAGCTGTATCCAACACCTGGTGTAAGCAGCATGTAATTACTAGTCAGTCTTGTAACTGCAGTGCACGCTGTGTATCAGTTTTAATTGACTCTGGACTGAAAAGACTGAGTAATTGTCTGTGCAAAATTAATACCTATTTTTTCAGGATAGCGTGTTTTTTTGTACATCTCTATTTAGGGCAGGAGGGGAGGGGTTAAACCGTTAGTTTCTAATCCTACCGAATAGTACGTTATTAATACCAGTGTTGTTTCGTAAGTATACTTCAGTTTAGCATGGATGAGTTTTAATATTTTGACACTTCGTGCAAGAGATGTAGGATTCAACGAGTACAGAATAAATTTCCCCTTCAGGATATAATGAAGGGTTGGTTCAGGGTCCTTACTGACCTTAAAACCTCCCCCTGTAACTGAAGAGGCAGGAGGGAGGCTGACCAGTTCTCCATTACCTTTAACTGTCTTCTTGCATAAGAGTGACGGTGTGCAGCAAACAACCTACCTCGCCCAGCGCTACTGCCACGAAGCTACAAGGGAGATCAGTAAACTGCGGCCATCCCCGGAAAGAGAAGCCCTCATTCAGCTGACGGAAATGGTACTCATGCGAGACAAGTGAGAGAACTCCTTCCACTCGTTCTGGCAGCTACTTACCAGACTGTGCCTAAATTTACTTCAAAAATTATTTGCTTCCAACACAGGCTACCAAAAATTATGTTTTTAAAAACTTTTTTTTTTTTTTGGGGGG